TGTGGATGAAATCTTTAAGGAGAGAGGACTCTCGAAAAGGAGCCGTTGAAGATATCCTCAAACTGACCATTAGAGGGAGTAACAGCGGAAAAAATCTCTTCCTACCCGAACAATAGCGAGACCCTCATGAGTTTCTCAGAACACACAAACGACGATGGATGATGATGATGATCTTTGATCCAGAAGACGCACGAAGAGAATGCGGGAGAAAAAAGTGACCAACAAAACTAGCGAACAAGGGATGTTTTGTGTGGAAGAAGCATGTTCTCCGGGCGATGCTTTCTTCCTCGTTCCCGAAGCGACAGACGCAAAAAAGGACGAGGAGGAATGTGAGAAATGGTTTTGTCTAGTAAACAAAACGGATCCTGAGCGCATAAAAAAGCGGTATTTGGGAGTTTTTTTTCCTGAAAAACTATATCTCGTAAATTGGAAGATCCTTTCTCGGGATGCTGACATTCAGCATTTCACGAGAAAAATCCTCTCTCAACAGCCAGAAGAAACTGTGCGCGAGAGAAGCTTGAAAAATCGTGGGAAGGTATTGAGAAATTAGATGATCTTTGATAGTTTCTTCCACTCCCTCATTTCTCACCGAGACCTCTTGACTTCTTCTCCTCACAAGAGAGACACGCAGAGCGCGCATTGTGACATCCGGCCGAGAACATGGTGAAATTTGTGAAGACTGCGCGCGTTGAGACATTTGCCTACCTTTTAACACAACAAATAGACACTCTTGAAGTCGTCGAAATGCACTCGAGAAAGAGCGACTGTTTGATCTGTCACAGATTGACTGCGAGTTAGTGAGCATTCCTTTTGTCACACTGACTCTCTTGAGGAGTTTATTTCAGGGTTGAGATTGATTTAAGGAGCCAGAGAGGCACAAATTTTTATAGCTTTTGCGCCAGATCATCTCGCCTGAAGACACACACTCAGGGAGTATTAAATTGTCATAAAAAGCATATTTTTAGACCCGCGCACAACTCCTAAATACACTTCATTGAGAAATCACAAGCGCTGATCATCAAATGAACGAGGAATTTCAGGAGAGGTGCTCGAAATCCCTCACAATTTGCCCAATCGTCTCTCTTTTTCTTCCGTATCTCCCCGCATCGGAGTTTTTAGGAAGTTAAAACCACCCAAAAGCCTCTCACTTTGCCGCGATAACATTGCGGAAAATTCGATGAGACTCACAAAAATATTAGAGGTAATAATCTTTCGGCATGTGTTAGATAAGCAAAGAGTGTAGGGTGAATGGGAAGAGAGATTTTATTCACTTTCTTATCAACTCTCCTGGCCTTTGTTCGTACCCTGTTTTGGTCAATTGGTTTCAGCAAGGGGCAGAAAAGTTAATTTTACTGCTTTTCTAGGTTATGTTACAGACTTAAAATATTATTTATGTCTAGAAAAATGTCTTTTTGCTCAGTTTTCTTTGCAGTTTGTGCCTTAAAGTGGGAAATTCAACCTTATTATCCTGTTGAAACAATGTAATATACGCCATATATACCTATTTCAAGGTCTGAAAGGATTGAAATTAGTCGAAGAAGGATTTTTTTTGTCATTCCGAAGTGTCTGAAGTGTCACGAAATGGTGTACAGATATCAGTAATACTATCTCCCCCTTGGATTTCAGCAATGATCGTGAAAAATGAGGAAAAAAAATTGCAATTTCATTGATTGCGCACCAAGCAAAGGAGGGGGATTATAGATTTGGTGGGTTTCCGAAAAGGAATTCCCCTGGAACAATAATAAATTCACAGTTCGATTATCATTTGTGACCACTCTCGAGTGACTGACTTATCGCATTTGTCAATTATCGCGCTCAACGGTGACGCCATCGCCGTGATCGTCACGAGACGGCGAGAGAGAGAGTGAATGTCAGGCTTGGGGTGTGAGCCAGCGCACAGATGTTGCAATTAATTTCCCCCGGAACACACTCACCCTCCGGCAAGTGCACAAAATGATTCCCAGCCTTGAATCATCAATTTCCATGGCAGCATCCCTTCCTTGGATCGTTTCGCGATTATTTGCAGAAGGGTCGGAGAGACACTGCGACAATGAAGTCCACAATGCGACCTTTAAATGGATTCGTGGTTGGAAAAATTGTGTGTGTGTCCCTGGAAAAGGGGTGAAAATTTCCAATTTCCATCTTCCGGGTGAGAGAGAGGGGGATGTCAATGTACGGCGCGCATCAAAAGAGAGGGAAGTGCACCCTAATTTGAATATTTATACGACACCCAGAGGGTCGATCGTCTCTCCCGCATATTTTGCAGCAAGTGTGTGACGCACTGAGGGCGATGATTCCGGGCACACAAAATTGCTGGGCTGCCTCTCGATGTTGTGCAAAATATGTCAAACACCACATTTAAATGATGATAGTGCATAAAACTGGAGTGAATTGTCAGGAAAAACTCCCCCAAAGCGTGTGCAGAGGCAGCAAATGGGCCGATTTCCAGCAATTTGCTTACATCCACAAGTTAAAGACTCTCTGTGGCAATGGCAAGAGGTCATTTTCACGAGTTCACAGTGCCAGATTTGTTCATAAAATAGTCTCCACGCCATCCCTTTGTGTCTCCTCGAGAGGCTGCACAGCAAGGAATGGGTGGAGAGAAGCCGTAATAAATATCAAGGGGGATGGAAAGAGAATCAAGTGAAATGAGCAACACAAAACCATATAAAAAGACCGTCGTCTTGTCTTGCCAAGCAAACCCAAGAAATCACATGAACAACTCTCTCAGAATTGAATTGTCTCGAGAGAGACATCAAAAGTGTCTCCCAACCTTCGAGCCGAACTCTTCGGGTCGATCTTTTTGCTGCTAATCCCAAAAATGGCCACAAGAACTATCACTTTTCGCCAACGGTCACTTTTACGACCAGTCAAAAGTGACCACTTTAATAACTTCTTCTCTTCGGACACACGCTCAGAATTTCGGTGAAATGTCCAAAGAGAAATTTGATTAACCCGCATTTTTTTTCTTCCTGTGAATCTGGTTCTCCTGTCGCATGTCCAATTTGACCCATTCGATCTTCTCTTTCCAACTCTGTCAATATTTAGCCGCTTCGCGCTGGGCAAATACTTCGCATTCACGTACAAATTGACGACGTTGTGGGTTGTGATAATGAAATTATCACAAACATCAGCCGTGAAAGTTCTCACAGTGCTGCAAAGTGAGTCCGAGAGATTTGCAACACTGCGAGACTTCCTCCATTTCGAATCACACATTCTTCCGCGTTGAGCGGTGTTTTATGCAAGATTCTTGCCTCTCTGACGAACTCACTATTGTCCACGCTTCAGCGCCGGTGCTAATGCTCAGCAGATCAGTCCAGTAAAGTGCATTTGCGAAAAGGAAGTGGAATTGCTGCGAATGTATTGCGCGTGTGGCGCGAAAGTCCTTAAAAATCTTCTTTCCACCTATTTTACCTCTCTCAACGACTGCTTGACGTCTTTAAATTTAGTTTTCTTGCTTAAAAAGAGTCTCAAGTTCCTAAAATTCTTTAATTTCAGAGTATAAGAAGATTCTGAATAAATTGTGAGGTTGTGAATCAGCCAAAAATTGTTTTCTGATACCATATCCGTTGATTTTACTTCATAATACACCCAAAATCGTTACGTTTAATCGAAAAATGTATGGTTTTGGAGTTTGTGATACTTAAAAGTAGTTTTTTAACTGTCAAACTGATATAATCACGATTTTTGAGTAAGGAAGCTCAATTTTTACCTCAAAAATTGAAAATAATTCTATCTTTTTATACAATAATTGATGTTTTCAGTCACTTAATTTTTCCTTCAATCATTCCCAAGAATCCTCTAAGAGTCTGTAACACTTTGAAGGATTTCCCCTGAAGTGTACACCACCTTCGGGCAAATGCCTCCCCCTTGGAGCTCACCCAGAGTCAATCACGAGCGCTTATTTCTCAACCTCTTCTCCTCATCAATAGAGGCCTGCTTTTATTTATCATTAACACCCATTGAACACTTTCCGCTATGTCGACAGACAACAGACTTCGTCTTTCGCCGTTTCTCTCTCGCGACCAGCAGCATTACTTTATCCCGCGAGAGACAACAATTTGCTCAAGCAATGCGGAAGTGGAGTTCAAAACCTGCGAGAATATATCATGTCGCCTCACTCACGCCATATTCTTGAGCGTGTGCAATTGAGCAAATACCACCACTTTCTGCTGCTTCCTCGCGGAATCATGTTCTTTGTTCCCGATCAGCGACACCCTCGCACAAAATCGCCCCAAAACAGTGCCGCGAAAGGAGTGAGTTGAGATCGTCTTCGGTAGAAATTCACATTAGTCACAGAATTGCCGCATTGAGAGACATAAATCACATCACGAGGAACGTCACATTCCTCAATCACTCTGTATTTTCCCTCCCGCAAAAGTGATCTTTTCTTGTCTCTCCAATTCTGCTTCCTCATTCGTCAACTCGCGCGCGATGTTATGAGGAATTAGCAATTCATACAAGGGAGTTGTTGCTCGAGCTCCTCGCAGATTTGCACACACACAGAGATAATCTCTCTGGCCAGCGTCTTGTGAATTTCAAATTCTATCTTACAAGTGTTGAGCGCACAAAAAATGCTAAATTACAGCCACTGTACTCTCGAGTGTATCGATGGGTGGGATATTATTAAAGAATGGGAATACGGAAGTGTGACCATAATGAATGCTGAAGCAGTCTTTCCTCCTCGCGCTGTCAAGTTTTTCACTGGGTATTTACATAAAATGTGACTCAGAAGCTCAATGTGAAGAAGTAAATGGTGATTCTGAGAAGATATAGAGAACTGGTCGAACAAATCCCAGTAAATAAAATGCTCAAGTTCTGGCGCAAACTAGCTCGCAAACTAGTCCGAAATTGCACCTATTCAGGGATATCAATTAATCCCCCCAGAGTAAGTAATGCACAGACTCGCCCTCTAAACCGGGTTTATGCCCAATAATCTTCAAGACTATTTGTCCTGTGTGTCGACGGGAAATTGAATAGAGAAAAAAGTGCGTAATTACCTTTAGCTTAGATGATAGAATTTATTGTCTGTTGACTTGTCCGCTTGAAGACAGTAATCCAGTACTTGCACCAACTTATGTTCTCAAGCATTCGGGTGGAAAATCCATAAAACACTTCTCTCGAGCACTTTGTGTGTGAAATAGTACATTTGTCGTCTATGACAACACACTCACAATCAATTGTTGCAAATACAACTTCCGGATGGTGAATCTTGGCTGAATTGATCGCGCGCCTTAAGTGTCTAACACTGTGTAGGATGGTTGAATCTCTATTTATAAAATCTCATTTGTTTTCCGCTGATGAACATTTAATTTTTAACGATGGACAATATCTCACGAGGAAACACACTTGCGAAGCGCACAACAGTTCTCGGACTCTCTTCTCTCCCTCTCTCAATTCTGGTCTTGAGAATGTTCCTTCGCGACGTGAAAAAACTCCAAAAATTTTGCTCCCCCACACACAATTAATCGGGGGTGGTTGGGAAGAGAGAGAGATATAAACTCCCCTCTTTTTTGGCTTTGATAAACGTCGTGCACAAAAACAACACCACACAAGGAGAGAATTATCCTCAATTTTGCTGCGCTGCGAAACTCTTCCGCTGATTACAGTTACTCTTTGTACTGTGATTTATCGCCTCCTTTGCATCCGTCACTATTGAGATCCCTGCACTTTGTACCGCGTCACAAGAGCTAAAATATCCCGTGTTGGGCCTCTTAATCACCATGTGAAACGCCAGTGATTGGTTCTCGCTGATAAAAACGGCCTGCAAATTCCTGCGAGTTGCCGAAAAAGCAAAACAAAATCCGTCGAGATGTTGAGGCGAACTGTCTTAATTCCACACTGTGTGTCTAGAAGAGAACTCTTCGTCGTGCGTCGACGAAAGACCATCGACTACTGCCCGACTGGCAACGGAACGGCGTGCGACAAGTGGAAAAGTGGAAACGTGTCCGCTAGCTTCTTGATCCCACTCACACACACACACGCGCGGCGCAGAGGGCGCTGTATAGGTGCGCTGAGTGGGGGAGGCAACCTTTCGGCTGGAGCGCGCCGATCCCACTTCTGCGACATGGCGTGCTGTCTGCGCTCTCCTGCGGGAGTTGCGCAGACCCAGAGCGGTTCTCGAGGAGAAAGTCCCACGAAACCTGCAGTTCTCAACCTCTGCACGCACCCGAGTCGCTCACAAGTCGCACACAAGTCGCCGCAGTAGTGTGTGTTTGTGTGAGCGCTTAGCGTTGTGTGCGTGGTGTTGGAATTGGAAGGAATTGTTGCGCTTCCGTATATACAGTCGGTCCCCCACTGTCTTTTGTTCACGTGGGCGAGAGTGAGACAATCGATGTGTGGTATTTAATTTATTTATACAGAACAAAATTAAAACAAACACACACACACACACACGGCATCTCAGCAGGAGAGATTCACCACCACTCATGACACTATGTGGTCTCCCGAGAAATAATAATGATTGTGTGCCAAGTGAGATCTCACACTGCCATATCGTGGAGATTAAAAAGCAATTCATTTTTGGGCCCCATCGCGGCACTTCATCTCCTCTCTTGGGCTTTTCCAGCGCCGGGGAAAACTTATCGGTCACACTTCCTGCATTACGCGCACTTTTCGAGTGCCTCTAACGCGCTTAGTGCAGGACTTCTACGTGGGTTTGAGGTAGGAAATGATGAGATTTCGGTGCTATTGTATAATATCTCAACCTGACAAACAGTCACAAAAGTGCTGAAGCTGAGCTTGTTGCGCTTGTTTGCAGCTTTGCATAAGTTTTTGCAGAGACATCAGCATTTCATACTAAAGGAATTGGCTTCAAACAAGGGGGAGATAATATGCCAGGCATATCTTTGTACATTATAAACTGGATCAAGAAAAACACTTTTAAAATAATTTTTTGTATGTCGAATTCCCTATACCAACCGACAAAACACCAAGCCCTGCCCAATTGGTATTCCTGGAGATATTGTGGCGGGAATGCCACTGTCATGGCGGTCTTCTCCTTCTGATGAGATTCTCGCTGTTAGCATTATTTCACGGTAGAGGCAGCACTGAGGGAGGACGCGGAGAAACAGTGCATCGTCTGTAAGAACAAGGGTTACATAGAGCCAAACTCCTTATAATAGTATTTGGAACTTCATTTTAAAAATTTTCAGTAAGTTGTGAGGTTATGAAACTGTGAAAACTACACTGAACATATCCTGATGATCTTTTCATGTCAAATAGCGAAGGAATCGCATAGAAAATGTATTTGGAAACCAAAATAAAAATGATTGAGGTTATGTTTGATGTTCAAACAGTTTTTTAAACCCATTAATTGTTGTTTAAATTATTCACATAACCTACAAAAGTGGTTTATTGTCCTATCTTTCCCTTGGCTTGAATTCAGACTGGCTCAACTTCTCCTTCACTTTGAGTTGTCCTTAGAGTGGCTTCTGAGGAAGGAGTAGAGGAGGATTTTACAAATGGAGAATGATGTGCCTGAACAAGAGCTCGCTGGGATGGAGTAAAGCGGACGAGATCGAAAACGCCACACCATAATTCTTTATCTCTGTTTGCACTTTACCTGCTGGTTGGTGAGCTGTCTGGCGGTTGTACGGTTGTATACTTAATTAGCAATAGTGGCGATTGCATAATAGAAAGCTCGCGGTATGGATTTTATGTAAAATGCTCGTTTGGGTGTTGAGCGGCTCCTCTGGGCGCTCTGCTCTCTCTCTCCCCAGCCGCCGAGCGAGCGTTACTTCATTCTCAGGCCCCAAAAAATGACATAATAGTTTTGTCAATAGGCACATTATTTAAAATGCAACACACCGGTTTATTATTTAATCCGCAGACACACAGAGCGCTGAAAGTGGTCGTGGAAGTTGGTGAGAGTGGCATCGGTTTTTGGCATGCACAAGAGACTTTTCCACCGCGAGGCGTAAGAGTGTTGCGGTGGGGCGTCTTGTGTGGGACGCCAGATGACACACTTTGCTGATTATCTCGTCACTGACCGTACAAATTCCTCATGCGAGAGTGCAAAAACCCTTCGCGAGGCTTTCTTTTCTCTCGATGGCCTTTATTCACTTTTTGGATTTCCTCAAGTGCCCAAAACACCAGCACGACCGGTTTTCACTGGGCGTCGATTGGGGAAACGGGAGAAGGAGGAGAAGAAGTGCTGCTCAGAGGCTGTGGCTGCTGAATTTCGTGCTCGACACGCTCGAGTGGCGAGGAAAAAGAACCCGAGAACTGTGTGTGATAAAAGGAAGGAGTGAAGGTACTTAATAGAATGCCAAGTAGAATGATGAGATAAAACCGGAGAATTCTCTCTGCTGCTGACTTGCCGTGAGCTGCCGTGCAGCAGATTTCCTCATCATGCATCGTGGAAACGCACACTCTGAGTCCTGACGGACATTCTTCTCGCAATCTCGACCGCAGCTCAAGAGGCCTGTCATTTCAGGATGCGCCTCAGGTGGATTTTCCACAAACTCAATGGCCAAGTCAGAGATGAATAGCATTATATCCTGTCATTTCCACATTTTCTATGCTGATTTCCAACATTAAACTTGGCACAAGTTTCTTTGAGCAACAAAAATTTGAGCACTAAAGTTGATTTTCCACTTAAATGTGGGATTTAAATGGTTCAAATCTAAAGGCCACGACTTAATTATTAATGATGAGCACGAATTGGTTCGCTTTATTGCTTTAAAAGAGCACAAAAACATCTCTTAGTCGTAAATTTGTCATTTGAGCACAATAAAACCGTCAAGTTTTGAGCAACTACGGAAACTTTTTGTGATCTTTTAAGGTATTAAATACTATTTTAGTGTGTTAAATCGCGCTCGTCAATGCTAATTAAGGCAAAAACCTTCAATTTTGTAAAATACAACTGAAAATCTGTGCTCAAATCTTCTTTTTCCTCTTCTGTCCGTCAAGATTGTTGCTCAAATCTGGTTGCTCAAATCTTTTGCAATCGTAGTGAGGTTTTATTGGATTTCGCTGAATCTTATTAAAACTGATCACAATGTTAAACCAATATTTGGCCAATATTGAAACATATCTCCCCCTTGGCTGAAGGACCAATTCCTGGATATTGACGCATAATTTCATCAACCATATTGCCCAATTCGCAGCTGTAATCAATGCAAATTTCCCACGAATTATCCCAAAATGGCATTCCCAGGCGCAATGCTGGAGATTGTGGCGCGAAGATGGACCGATTGATTACTCTGCGGCGCTAATTACTGATTGTTGCTCATTGTTCTGTGCAAGATTGACTCTCTCTCCCACTCTCTCCGCGCGCATCTGTGTACAGACATGGTTGAACATCACCCAAATATGCTCAGTGATTCAAACAATGACAATGTTTGGCAATATCGTGAGAAGTTTCACATGTGGCGACTCGGGCGATAAAGCAAATTTGCAATGCCATGAATTTCCGTGTACACACTTTTCTGGCGATGACTAACCCTTTTTCGGCGCGACTCCAGAATCGCACCGCCGAGAGATGCATATATTTAAATGCAGGAGACGCGCTCTCGAGCCTTTTCACGCGAAGGGTTTTGTGTGGTGCTGGCGTGTGAGCGACAGGAGTTGTGCCCGCCCATGAAAAAGAGCCTCTCTTTGGCGCGCGAGATGGCTGGGAGATTAAAGTCCGCCAATTTAGCCACACATTTCCGACATTGAATATTATTTAATTTAGTCCATTAAACGCAAACGCTTTTCGAGAGTCCTCAGCGTTTGCAAACACACCGCGAAGAAGAAAAAGCACAGAGTGAGAGTCAATCTGTGGCGAATAGATTCAACTCTGTCTTCCGCGCGGGTTTGAAACACGAGAAAATGTCTAGTAAACATAAAGAACAATAAATAAACATAATTCCAGTGTAATAGGATCAAATTGGTTTTGATTAAAATCGCCATTTGGTTTGTGTATTTGTTGTAATATTGCTATTACGGGCTCTTGTGGTGTGGTGGAAAAAGAGAGCTTCATGTTTTATTTATAAATCCGTACAAAACACGGGAAATTGTCAACAGAGTGTGAGGAGAGGAAGAACTTGTTGCTCTGTACTTCGTGTTTTCTTCTCGCTGTGTGATGTTCTCATTGGAGAAATATGCCTTATTTTGCCTCAGAGCTCGTGTTGTTAAGAAGGCATGCTTTAGCGTCAATTTATCAGCTTCACATATTGAGATCGCAAGATGTTTGCAGGGCATCTTGCGAATGGCTTTTAGCATTTAACCTTCTGCCTCCTTCAGCTCCTTCTCTTTTTCTTTCCTCTCTCTCTCTCACTCGAAATGATGTATTACTGAGTAAACAAATCCCTCTCGAGATGAGTAAAATTGGGTATTTTTCCCCAAAATTTGGGCCATTTGAGCACAGCCAGAGATTTTCTCCATAATCCACACGCAGCGCGAGAAAATTATAAATCTTTAGTATCAGTGTAAGATATTGCTACATCTTCCGATAATGATCTATTGCATATTTGAGGAGAAAAAGAAGAAGAAAAAAAAAGCTTACACAACATTTACATAAAAGATCACTACGACATCGAAGGTTTTATGTAATTTTTTCACTCGATCCATAATCATCTCATCAAATGTGCACACATTTCATCTCTTCGCCGTTGCATTTCTCTTGACATTACATGGGAAGTTGGCAAATCCCGGGCTCCATATTGCGCGATTCTCTGCAATTTCTCTCTCTTTCTGGGTGTCTTTATGGAATCGAGAGTCATAATCTCTCTTTGGATGCACTCATTAGGCAGCCGCGCATATTGTTGGGATTTCTTGTGTGTGAAAATGTCTCTGAGAAAAGTGGATGTTTCACATGAAGTGACTTTACTCAAAACGGACAGAAAATTCTCTGTCATGTGCAATATGAAAAGGGAAGAAACATTTTCAGAGTTTTGCACTATATTTG